CACAACAACACTCACCCTCACCGCTCACCACTCACCCTTACTACTCACCACTCATCCTCACCAATCACACCCTCACCAATCATTACTCGCCCTCACTGCTCACCCTCACCGCTCACCACTCACCCTCACCACTCAACCTCACCACTCACGCTCACCCTCACCACTCACCCCTCACTAATCACCACTCACAACCGCCACTCACCCTCCACACTCACCCTCACTACTCACCCTCACTACTCACCACTCATCCTCACCAATCACACCCTCACCAATCACCACTCGCCCTCACCACTTACCACTCACCCTCACCACTCACTACTCACCCTCACCACTCACCATTCACCCTCACCACTCTCCCTCACCACTCTCCCTCATCACTCTCCCTCACCACTCTCCCTCACCACTCTCCCTCCCCACTCACCCTCACCACTCCCCACTCTCCCTCACCACTCACCACTCACTCTCACCATTCACCCTCACCATTCAGCCTCACCACTCACCCTCACCACTCACCCTTACTACTCACCACTCACTCTCACCATTCACCGCTCACCATTCACCCTCACCACTCACCCTCACCACTCACGTTCACCCTCACCACTCACCCCTCACTAATCACTACTCACAACTGCCACTCACCCTCACCACTCACTCTCAACACTCACCACTCACCCTCACCACTCACCCTCACGACTCACCACTCATCCTCACCAATCACACCCTCAACAATCACCACTCACCCTCACCACTCACGCTCACCACTCATCCTCACCAATCACACCCTCAACAATCACCACTCACCCTCACCACTCACGCTCACCACTCACCCTCACCACTCACCCTCACCACTCACGCTCACCCCTCACCACTCACCCTCACCACTCACTAATCACCACTCACAACCGTCACTCACTCTCACCACTCACCACTCACCCTCACAACAACCACTCACCCTCACCGCTCACCACTCACCCTTACTACTCACCACTCATCCTCACCAATCACACCCTCACCAATCACCACTCGCCCTCACTGCTCACCCTCACCGCTCACCACTCACCCTCACCACTCAACCTCACCACTCACGCTCACCCTCACCACTCACCCCTCACTAATCACCACTCACAACCGCCACTCACCCTCCACACTCACCCTCACCACTCACCCTCACTACTCACCACTCATCCTCACCAATCACACCCTCACCAATCACCACTCGCCCTCACCACTTACCACTCACCCTCACCACTCACTACTCACCCTCACCACTCACCATTCACCCTCACCACTCTCCCTCACCACTCTCCCTCATCACTCTCCCTCACCACTCTCCCTCACCACTCTCCCTCCCCACTCACCCTCACCACTCCCCACTCTCCCTCACCACTCACCACTCACTCTCACCATTCACCCTCACCATTCAGCCTCACCACTCACCCTCACCACTCACCCTTACTACTCACCACTCACTCTCACCATTCACCGCTCACCATTCACCCTCACCACTCACCATCACCACTCACGTTCACCCTCACCACTCACCCCTCACTAATCACTACTCACAACTGCCACTCACCCTCACCACTCACTCTCAACACTCACCCTCACCACTCACCCTCACGACTCACCACTCATCCTCACCAATCACACCCTCAACAATCACCACTCACCCTCACCACTCACGCTCACCACTCATCCTCACCAATCACACCCTCAACAATCACCACTCACCCTCACCACTCACGCTCACCACTCACCCTCACCACTCACCCTCACCACTCACGCTCACCCCTCACCACTCACCCTCACCACTCACTAATCACCACTCACAACCGTCACTCACTCTAACCACTCACCACTCACCCTCACAACAACCACTCACCCTCACCGCTCACCACTCACCCTTACTACTCACCACTCATCCTCACCAATCACACCCTCACCAATCACCACTCGCCCTCACCCTCACCGCTCACCACTCACCCTCACCACTCAACCTCACCACTCACGCTCACCCTCACCACTCTCCACTCTCCCTCACCACTCACTCTCACCATTCAGCCTCACCACTCACCCTCACCACTCACCCTCACCACTCACCACTCACCGTCACAACCAACACTCACCCTCACTACTCACCCTCACCACTCACCCTCACCACTCAACCTCACTACTCACCATTCATCCTCACCAATCACCACTGACCAATCACCACTCACCACTCCACTAACCCTCACCACTCAACCTCACCACTCACCCTCAAAACTAACCACTCTCTCACCACTCACCCTCACCACTCACCCTCACCACTCACCCTCACCACTCACCCTCACCACTCACTAATCACCACTCACAACCGCCACTCACCCTCACCACTCACCCTCACCACTCACCCTCACCGCTCACCCTCACCGCTCACCACTCACCCTCACCACTCACCCTCACCGCTCACCACTCACCCTCACCCTCACCACTCACCCTCACCACTCACCCTCACCCTCACCACTCACCCTAACCACTCACCATTCATCCTCACCAATCACCACTCACGCTGACTGCTCACCCTCACCGCTCACCACTCACCCTCACCACTCACCACTCATGCTCACCCTCACCACTCACCCCTCACTAATCACCACTCACAACTGCCACTCACCCTCAACACTCACCCTCACCACTCACCCTCACCACTCACCCTCACCACTCACCACTCACCGTCACAACCAACACTCACCCTCACCACTCACCCTCACCACTCACCCTCACCACTCAACCTCACTACTCACCATTCATCCTCACCAATCACCACTGACCAATCACCACTCACCACTCCACTAACCCTCACCACTCAACCTCACCACTCACCCTCAAAACTAACCACTCTCTCACCACTCACCCTCACCACTCACCCTCACCACTCACCCTCACCACTCACCCTCACCACTCACAACCGCCACTCACCCTCACCACTCACCCTCACCACTCACCCTCACCGCTCACCACTCACTCTCACCACTCACCCTCACCACTCACCGCTCACCACTCACCCTCACCACTCACCCTCACCACTCACCCTCACCCCTCACCACTCACCCTGACCACTCACCACTCATCCTCACCAATCACCACTCACGCTCACTGCTCACCCTCACCGCTCACCACTCACCCTCACCACTCACCCTCACCACTCACCACTCATGCTCACCCTCACCACTCACCCCTCACTAATCACCACTCACAACTGCCACTCACCCTCAACACTCACCCTCACCACTCACCCTCACCACTCACCCTCACGACTCACCACTCATCCTCACCAATCACACCCTCAACAATCACTACTCACCCTCACCACTCACGCTCACCACTCACCCTCACCACTCACCCTCACCACTCACGCTCACCCTCACCAGTCACCCTCACCACTCACTAATCACCACTCACAACCGTCACTCACCCTCACTACTCACCCTCACCACTCACCCTCACAACAACCACTCACGCTCACCACTCACCCTCACTACTCACCCTCACCACTCACCACTCATCCTGACCAATCACACCCTCACCAATCACTACTCACCCTCACTGGTCACCCTCACCGCTCACCACTCACCCTCACCACTCAACCTCACCCTCACCACTCACGCTCACCCTCACCACTCACCCCTCACTAATCACCACTCACAACTGCCACTCACCCTCCACACTCACCCTCACCACTCAGCCTCACTACTCACCACTCATCCTCACCAATCACACCCTCACCAATCACCACTCACCCTCACCACTTACCACTCACCCTCACCACTCATTACTCACCCTCACCCTCACCATTCACCCTCACCATTCACCCTCACGACTCTCCCTCACCACTCTCCCTCACCACTCTACCTCACCACTCTCCCTCACCACTCACCCTCACTACTCACCCTAACCACTCACCCTCAACACTCACCCTCACTGCTCACCACTCACCCTCACCACTCACCCTGACCACTCACCACTCATCCTCACCAATCACACCCTCACCAATCACCACTCACCCTCACTGCTCACCCTCACTGCTCACCCTCACCGCTCACCCTCACCACTCACCACTCACCCTCACCACTCACGCTCACCCTCACCACTCACCCCTCACTAATCACCCCTCACAACCGCCACTCACCCTCACCACTCACCCTAACCACTCACCACTCGCCCTCACTACTCACCACTCATTCTCACCAATCACACCCTCAACAATCACCACTCACCCTCACCACTCACGCTCACCACTCACCCTCACCACTCACCCTCACCACTCATGCTCACCCCTCACCACTCACCCTCACCACTCACTAATCACCACTCACAACCGTCACTTACCCTCACCACTCACTCTCACCACTCACCACTCACCCTCACAACAACCACTCACCCTCACTGCTCACCACTCACCCTCACCACTCACCCTCACCACTCACCAATCACACCCTCACCAATCACACTCACCCTCACCAATCACCACTCACCCTCACCACTCACCCTCACCACTCAACCTCACCGCTCACCCTCACCACTCACCCCTCACTAATCACTACTCATCCTCACCAATCACACCCTCACCACTCACTCCTCACCCTCACCACTCACCCTCACCACTCTCCCTCACCACTTTCCCTCACCACTCACCCTCACCACTCACCCTCACCACTCACCCTGACCACTCACCACTCATCCTCACCAATCACACCCTCACCAATCACCACTCACCCTCACTGCTCACCCTCGCCACTCACCCTCACCACTCACCCTCACCACTCACCCTGATCACTCACCACTCATCCTCACCAATCACACCCTCACCAATCACCCTCACTGCTCACCCTCACCACTCATGCTCACCCTCACCACTCACCCCTCACCACTCACCCTCACAACAACCAATCACCCTCACTACTAACCCTCACCGCTCACCACTCACCCTCACCACTCAACCTCACCCTCACCACTCACGCTCACCCTCACCCCTCACTAATCACCACTCACAACCGCCACTTACCCTCCCCACTCACCCTCACTACTCACCACTCATCCTCACCAATCACACCCTCACCAATCATCACTCACCCTCACCACTTACCACTCACCCTCACCACTCACTATTCACCCTCACCACTCTCCCTCACCACTCTCCCTCACCACTCACCCTCACCACTCACCCTCACTAATCACCCTAACCACTCACCCTCACTCACCCTCACCACCACCACTCACCCAATTTCCGTTTTAAAAACTTACTTACGTGTCGCCAAGTATGCTTAACATTTAGAACAGACACACACATTCACTAATTTAGCTTTTGACATTTAACAAACAAAACCTCAGCTTGTACTACTGTTATCATAGCAGGTACCACCACCACAGTGATGGTGAGTGGTGAGCGGTGAGGGAGAGTGTTGAGGGTGAGTGGTGATGGTGAGTGAGGGAGAGTGGTGAGGGAGAGTGGTGAGGGTGTATATATTTTGCCTATGATGACAGCAGTACATGCTGACGTTTTGTATGTTAAATGTAAAAGCTAAATGTGTGTGTCTGTTGGAAATGTTAAGCAAACTTGGCGACACGCAGTTTGTTAAAAAGGGAATATGGCGATTCTAAAGTAATCTACAACCCTCGATGATTCCTTTGCGCGATTGCAAAGAATTGCTTCTTTTCGCGCTTGGGCTACATTTTTAATTACTGAGTTTTATTTTCATTGGTATGTTATGTTTTAAAGTTTTCAGGAGTTTTTAATTATATTTTTGCCCCGGTCAACGCCGGATATTTCCCATTCGTAGCAGTTTATATCAACTCTATAACCAACTTATATTAAACGGGAATAAGCCGATTCTAAAGGAGTCGACAACCTTCGATTCCTTTGCGGGATTCAGAGAATCGATTCTTGGCGCGGTCGGTTTTACATTTTAAATTACACAGTTGTATTTTCATTGGTATGTTATGTTTTAAAGTTTTCAGAAGATTTTAAATGTATTTTTTCCCCCGGGCAACGCTGGGTATATCGAGTTTATAGCACAAAGTCTTCGCCTGACAAGTGTGGGGTGTCGAGGCCTAGTACCGTGCAGAGCCTCCGGCCTCGCCTAGATTGCCCACCCGGCCGAGGCTGGGTGCTGGGGCCGCTACCCCCCCCCCCCCCCCCCCGCGCTACAATAATACTGTTTAATCGCTATAATTTTATTATCTACCGACCCTATAATAGTAATTGCACACTTTGGGGTGGGGGGGGAGTGAAGAGGACGTGAAACTTTGATGAATTTACCTCAGCGTCGCGTGTTAATGCGTGTGCATATTTTTAACGGGAATTAAAAATGGTGTCCACCTCGCAGCAACGGCGATGCTGCCCGTTGCCAGGGGCAACCGCCCGTTGCCAGGGGCCAACCGCCCGTTGCCAGGGGCAACCGCCTTCGCGCATGCGCAACGGCGTTCTTCGTCATGTGCCGGTCAGCAATTGTAAATAAATAAATAAAGAGGTATCGCACTAAATCGATAATCGGTCCGATTTAAAGTTTAGAGACAAAAAATCGGAAATGCCTATGTTCACCGCGGGGCCGGGGGCGTGCCCAACGGCAAAATTTAATTTCGGCGATCCCCACGGTCCGAGAGCCAAATCCCCCGCGAGCGAGCGTCCGCAGACGGACAGACAGACGGATAGACAGACGGACAGACAGGCGGACAGACAGACAGACGGACAGACAGACAGACAAAAAATGAATTATATAGGTTAGATTGCTGCTTTGCCCCAGCCGCAGAGTATGTTGCACGTAATTTAAGTTATTTGAAATGGTTTGGCATTCAAAGTGATTTTTGCTGAAAAAATGTATACAAGTGTTCATCACCTGCTCATGCCTAATGGTGTCTTTTTCGGGAAGCGCGTCTAATTACGTGTGGCGTGTCCTCAGGAGATAACCCGGCTAGGAGCACTCACAGTAAAGGCCCTGCCAAGAAGAAGCAGAGAGAGGCTCTGACGGACACAAGTGGCTCCGACAGCAGGCCTGTAGCCAAAACACAGGTTCCAGTGGGCAAGCACAGCAAGGGTTCCAGAGGGAACCTCAAGATTAGTGGAACAACACGCGGCAAGGGGCTTCGAAAGAGTGGTGGTCGGGAGCCGCTGCCCAGCCATCTGCGTGACCTGCATCAAGCTGCCCTTGAGGAGCCCAAGTCTCCCCTCCACAATGATGGTATCATCACACTTGACCCACTACCTATCGAATGATTTCCTCTTAAGTTCATTGTAGCATAGGCTGCCATATAATGATGTATTGATTCATTACTATTTTGATCAATTCTTGCATGAAAGGATCACTGATGCAGTCAGTGTAATAAAATTTGAATGGAATGTATTATTGACAAATGTAATGCAGACAATACAACTGAGCCATAACTACTGGTGATCTGGATTAAAATCTACAAAATCGTGTCCAAGTTGCCCCCGATTAACAGGATAGATGCATTCTAGAAAATGTTTGTGTAAGGAGAAATTGGGTTAATCAAACAATCTTTTCCCGAAATAAATAATAAAAATTAGTGGGTGCGTTCCAAGCCCCCAACTCGATCGACAATTGTATCATTCTCATTATGACTATTTTGGTTAATGCTTTTTATTGTTGCCTTTTATGTATGTGTTCTGCATGAATAACATTTAAACGAAAATAAATAATGGTGAAGGTAACCTAAAGTAAAGAATGCGCACGTGAGCTGTGGTGGGTGGAGTGGAGAGAAAGATAAATTGTAAGAATAGAAAATCGTTAAGTGCAGAATTTTTATTTTTTACACTTTTGTACATAAATAACACATTTAGAATGTTTTTAATCTGTAATCATAATTAAACTTTTTGTCATGTATATAAGGAAAAAGATTAGTACACTCACCAGCAGAATGATGAACGAATGCTTGCGGTGATGGGTGGAGTAGAGGAGGGTATCACCACCACACTTCTAACGCTTACCACGCATTACGAATACAGCAAGCCCTCTAACCACGGGGGCTAGGTTCCTGGAGAAGGCAAATCCGCAGTCGGTAAATTTCAGGGCCTCTGGAAACATTGGGGGTTAGGGGAATCACGGCTGCGCTCAGACTCATCATAGCTTAACTAAGTTGCCTGTTTATTAACTAAACAATGAGTAACTACAGTATATTACAATAAAACAATGAAACATAAACATTACGTTACATTTACATACCTTGAATATTAACGATGACGATGAGATGATGGGGGAAGGGCTGGTTAGAAGGAGGGGGCTCAGCCCATCCCTCGCCTTCTTCCTCCGAGGCACAGACGCGACGTTCTCAGCTTCACCACTCGCTGCACGCTTCGGGTCCATGATTAAGGGAAAAATTTACTCTTTCTCGGAATCGCAGGAAAAAATAAAATGACGTTATCGGTATAATCTTCTTTAATAACGTCACGCAATACAATGATATCATGCTGTGATGCAGTGACGTAATACCTACGTCACGTGGCTTCCTTAACACCTTGATTACCCGTGGATATTCAAATTTCCAGGCTGTGGTTGGTAAATTGGCATATAAAAAATACACCGTGTATACATCAAACTGTGGTTGTTAAGTCCGCTGTTGGCGAGGGATTCTATACACTAAAGTAAGTTCCCGGGTTGCGGAAGACCTGACTTACGGAATTCGGACCTGAGGCAAATTCTCCCATAAATCATGTAAAAAAAATTCAATATGCAAAAATGTTTTCTTTAGTTACTTAAGCGCAAGTAGTGCAGCATTATGAGGTCACGGATAAATGCCGCAACCTATTTTTAAGTGTATGTCATTAGTTTTTTACTGTATGTACTTTATTTCACACACTTCGATTGCGTATGGTCTCAGCCAACAGCAATCGAAGTGTGTGGTTTTCGGGGGAAATTGTTCAGTTTCCGACATACGAAAAACTACGGTTATCGATTGTTCTCGGGAACCTAACCTTTCTGTAACCCGGGGACTGTATTTTCAATATGAACATACTTTTAAAGGTATTGAATTGTGAGATGAAACACGCACACGTCTGAGCCAGTACAAGGTGGAACAAATACTGAGCGGGTGGCTCGCTGCTTCCGCCCACTGCCCGCGACGTTCGTGTTGCCTCACACTTGGGTACTGGACTGTAATGTACGTGGGAACGTGGTGTCAAATTTTGCTTCTGAAAAATTACACTAAAATGGTGTAAAATCGTTAAGTTGAGCTCATTAAACCAGGGTCCGGCCTTACTTTTGTAAATCGTGTAAAAACAGATTTGTGCTAAACGGAGTCGTGTTAATTTGGGACTACCTGTACCATCATGGTGAGTTGTGGGTAATAACATCAATGTGTTGTTTTACATAAAACAGTCCATTGACCAATGTACATTCTGGACCATTGATTTCTGGTGGCATTTGTTTCAAAAAGGCAATTCCTGGGCTGGTTTTCCACTTAACCTGTTGTCATCCATCTGCCAATTGCTGGATGGGTCGTGCACAATCTTGGAGCGAGCAAGCGGTTAGCGTAAATTTTATTTAGAGAGGCGTAGCACCGTTGTTCAAGACATTGTACCGTTCTCACCGTAGAGAACTGTAGCAACACGACCGCACTCTATGGTAGCTGGTGCCAAATTCTGCCACGCCCTCCTGCATGGCCTTTTATTTCCGATTCCATTTGGAATTAATTCCATTCTGATGACGTAAACGTATGGAATCGCAAGACAAACTGATGATGTACATGTTCGTCGTAGGAACGGGAAAGGGTTAACTGAGTCCTATTAGCAGGATGTGACCTATTAAACAACTGCTACTTATCTTCTTGGTTCTTTCGGTAAAGTCACGTAGAACGGGAAATAATAAAAATAAAACGTAATGAAATAATTCTCACGACGTTTCGGCTACAACGCAAGCAACCATCCTCAGATGAAGAATGAAACACCACCAAGCTTGGAGCGTATATTTAAGCTGGGTTGGAGGGGGGAAGAAGAGCGCCTTGACAAAATAATTTGCATATCAAGAGGAATTTAGCATATTTATGGGAAATGCGTAGGAGGTGGGCTGGGGGTTTCAAAGTCATATTATGCCCGTGCATTATGCAGGATTAGCAGCATCAAAGGGAGGGGATAGGGGTAGCATTAACAAAGGAAAGGAATGTTAATAGTATGTAGCTGCAGTTACTAAACCACCACGTAAAAAACTAAAGTATAAACTACGTAGTATCATCAGTATACTAAATATACTCTCCAATAAGCTGAGCTACTAACAGTAAGTAATATATTACAATTCTATGTCGCAAAAAATATAATATGCTTCCAACTAAACTTTTTTCTCTTACATCACACGGGTCTACCCCGTACTATATACTACCATAGACAACCCCAACATTAAATTATATACTGTATTACTATACGCACTCTATACCTTCGACTATAATATTACCCTAAGTATTATTCTACCCACCCTACTGTATACCACACTGCTGTATATTCACTATACAATTACGATATTGTATATTACCTTATACATTGTATTAAACATTACAATTTTATACTATTTATACAATCTGCTATACACTATACCATTGACCGTCGCGTGAAAGATACTAAGAGGAAGCAACGAAATATGTCAATGGGCATAATATGACTTTGAAACCTCCCGCCCACCTACGCATTTCCCATAAATATGCTAAATTTCTCTTGATATGCAAATTATTTTGTCAAGGCGCTCTTCTTCCCCCCTCCAACCCAGCTTAAATATACGCTCCAAGCTTGGTGGTGTTTCATTCTTCACCTGAGGACGGCTGCTTGCATTGTAGCCGAAACGTCGTGAGAATTATTTTATTGTTTTATTTTTATTATTTTATTATTTCCCTTCTACATGACTTTACCGAAAGAACCAAGAAGATGAATCCCTGCAGTCACGAAAGCTTTACATCGAAATTTAACTGCTATTTAGTGGTATGATGTTATAGGATAGAGTCAGTCATTCATGAACATCATGGGGCCCTGGCTTTAAACACATTTTGGTGTGGTGATACACACCTTTGATCCAGGCAGGTTTGATGGATCCTTGTAGGGATGTCCAGGACGTGAGTGAAAAATTACCCTGCAAGACAGTGATGTGTTGCTAGAGCAAGTCGTTTCGAGCCACTATGAATCATTATTTCTGAATGCATTCTAACAGTTTTAATAACAGTATTCCCTTTCCAACCGCGAGATTTGGGTGTCCACGGATTTACTTCTGTGTACCTGTTTATCGGCCGCGAGTATCTAGGTTTGAGTATACACGAATCACGAGTTGCGCCGAGTCGTGAAATCAAATTGGCGCTGCCACGTAGCATCTGCCATGTTGCCTCAGACTCACGCGAGGGGGCACCTCTGGGTCTGTTGCTACCTAATCCTGTTTCTGCTCCACGTTGCTACCTCCGTGATAGGTCAGATTCATGCTCCGTCTCACAAAATAATTGTACAGCATAACAATTTACTAATTGCGGCTGGGAAATGTGAGTATCAATGGGTAAGCACACAGTTATCACATCATTGCATTTCAAGATGACATTGCATTGATTTAAAGCTTTCGTGACTGCAGGAATTCATACTCTTGGGTCTTTCGGTCAAGTCACGTAAATAAAAAATAATACATCACGACGTTTCGATCGCAACACAAGCAATCGTCTTCAGGTGAAGCAATCGTTTTCACCTGAAGATGATTTTGTTATTGACGCGACTTGACCGAAAGACCCAAGAGTATGACATTGCATTGCGTGACATCATTGTTACAAATTTCACGGCGCTGTGACGATGCTTAGCTGATCAGCTGCCCATCTGTTTTGTTGTACAGTACTGTACAGTACACAATCATTGTGCTCTTCATCATGGACCCGAAGCGTGTAGCAAGTGAAGGTGAGAGAGTGTCGGGTCTGTGGCCTGGAGTAAGAGGGGGGGGGGGCCTGAGCACCACCTCTTTTTAACCACCCCTTCCCCCATCATCTCATTGTCATCATTAATATTCAAGGGTTGTAAAGTGAATGTATTTTTTATTATGTCATTGTGTAATGTACTGTATTTTACTCGGTGTTTAGTTAATAAATAGGCAACTTAGTTAAGCTGTGACGAGTCTGACCGAGGCTCTGGTTGACCTAATCCAGGGGTCGGGAACCTTTTTGACTGGGAGAGCCATAAAAGCCAAATATTTCTAAATAAATTTCATTGAGAGCCATATAGTATTTTTTACGTATAATAAATTAAATATGTCTTTTAATGCGACTTCTGGTGCTGCATGGTTTTGCTGATGGCCTTGTAGTCTGGTTCATACGTGGAGAGGTTGAGCTTCATGCAGGCGTTGAGGCTTCCATCAGTTAAACGTGAGCGTAGGTTGGTCTTAATGTTCCTCATATGCGAGAATGACTGCTCACATGCATATGTAGAGCCAAACATGGTCAATTCGGCAATACTCACACGCTGCATTGTGTGGTATGTCACAGGAAGCTCGTTCCAAGTTTTAAGAATCAGCTGGTCTTCAGGTTGAAGATTTTTTATTTCTGTCCACTTGTGTTCCCTCGCCAGCTCTGCTCGCTGTCGCGCAAGACTTTCCAACTCTCGATTAAGTGACTTGAACTTACTCATCCACATGTCTGATGCCTTCAGGTCAGCAACTTCCAGCTCAAAGTCTCCGATAGAGACCCCGGGGATGCATGTCAGGTCGACTTTGTCCACTGCACACTCATGTGGATGAGTGATGAACTTGAAAAGACCAGTGCGCGCACGAAATTCTCCAAAACGTGCTTTGAATGACTGCAGGAGATTGGACTAAATCCAGCTAGCTGCTGGAGATCCAGATGTTGAGTGGAGTCACTTGCTAAGCATGCATCTCTAAATTGTCGCAGTCTTTCAAAGTGCAGAAGACGACCTGTTTCAATGTCCCTGAGAAAGACTTCCAGCTTCCTTTCAAATGCAAACACTGCTTGTTGAAGGGATGAGATTGTATTTCCAATACCTTGCATTTTCACATTGAGCTGGTTCAGATGGCCAGTTATGTCCACGAGATAGTGAAACTGCAGGAGCCAGTCAGTGTTGTCTAGTTCAGGATGCTTGACGCCTTTCATTTCAAGAAAAGTCCGGATTTCACTCAGGCAAGCTGCAAAACGGCTGAGCACCTTCCCCCTTGACAACCAACGCACGTTGCTGTGTAAAAGCAGACCGCGATAATGATTCCCAACTTCTTCTAACAGAGCTTTAAACTGGCGATCATTTAAAGCTCGGGAAACAATAAAGTTGACCACTCGAATGACCAGCGACATCACCTCACCAAGCTCCTGGCCACACGTCTGAGCGCAAAGCGCCTCCTGGTGCAGGATGCAATGAAAACTTAGGATGGCTCTCTTTTCATGTTCACGGAGAAGCGCTACAAATCCGTTGTTCTTCCCCAACATACAGGGTGCACCATCAGTACAGACAGAAATAAGTTTATCCATCGGTAGTTTTTTTTTCTTTATCAAACTCCATGAAAGACGTGAATAAATCCTCTCCTCTTGTTGTCCCTTTCATTGGCAAAACAGCCAAGCTTTCCTCACGCAGTGTGTCACCTGCAGCATACCTGGCAATAATACTGAACTGAGATAGATGGCTAACGTCTGTTGACTCATCTAACGCGAGAGAAAAGTATGTCCCGGCGTTTATGTCCTTAATTTGTGTTTCCTCGACTTGATTTGCCATCATGATGCTACGATCGTGAACAGTTCTTGCTGACAGAGGCATGTCTTTTATTCGTTTGATTATCTTGTCTCTATTTGGGAAGTCATCAAACAGTTCATTGGCCACATCAAGCATGAATGTTTTGGAATACTCGCCATCTGTGAATGGCTTTCCATTCCTTACTATTGCCAAAGCACCCGCAAAGCTAGCGGAATTCCCGTCACCTTGCTTGGTCCACACACGTAGTTGCTGCTGACTCGTCTGCACTCTCCGCTGTAGCTCTTCGCATGCCTTTTTCCTGCTGTCCCCCGCTGGATGTTTCGATGCAAATGAAGCATGGTGCGTATCGAAGTGCTGCTTTATATTTGACCGTTTCATCGATGCAATTTTATCATTGCATATTAGGCATACCGCAGATCCTGCTCTCTCCACAAATGCAAATTCCTCTGTCCACGCAGCCTGGAATGCACGGTAATCATCGTCTTTTTTTCTTTTCGCCATCTTTTCCGTTACAAGGGTTGAAGCGGATAAACTAGTTGGCTATCTGATCAAATGGATTTCTTCACCTTTACAATGAACCGTGACATGCTCGCGAGCCATTGATTCCCGACCCGACCCACGGGTCACGGGATCCGTGACCCGTGAAATTTATCTTCAAAACTAATTTCTGTTTACTTTAAAATTACACAGTATTATTAAGCAATATCACAAGTATTTTAAAATCAGTTCCAAACTTTTTTTTTCAACTCAAAATTGTCTGGGAGCCATATGCCGTCACCGGAAGAGCCATATATGGCTCACGAGCCATAGGTTCCCGACCGCTGACCTAACCCCTTATTTCCCTTAGGCCCCCTGCACTTTAACAACCGTGAATTTACCAACTGTGAGGGTTTTCAGGAACCTTGTGGTTCGCAAGGGATTACTGTATTATTTATTTGCAGCACCACACTGCATGTACTACCTTTTAAGGCGGACAAATGATTTGTTGATTATGAATCCAGAACGCTTAAATACAAAATTTTGAGAAAATGTGAACTTCTTCCAATTGTCGCCTTTAAGAACAATTCCTGGCTCTTATGCTTCTATGAATTGTTGGGTGAGTCAGCACCAGATGGAGAGAGAAAGGGAGCTGCTGCGAAGAACGGAGCTGGCAGTGAAAATGAGGTCGGCAGTGAGGAGAGTGGGGCTGGCCCAGGGAGCCAGGCCAAAACGGGAGGCAAGGCCATTCAGTTGGTCGTGTATGAGGATCCGCGCAAGAGAAAGCGACAGAAGGAGAAGCCACAAGTGGCTAAGGAGAATGGCACGAAGCAGACTGCAGTAAGATTTCCTTGACTTACCAACACCACCACACGCCGCCCACAACATTTATAACATCATCATACCTCGGTCCTAAAAGTATGGTCATCACTTTCAGTAGTACAATCTTTGTCAAAGCAGTTTTTCTCTCTGTCGACATCATAATAAAATTATCTCCAGCGTTTCTTCCTCCCTTGCTATTATCAACATTATTTTCATTAGCAGTGGTGAATGTTAAATTCTTATCAATATCAGCTTTATAATCACGACTCTTAGCATCATCATTGGCTGTTCACAGCACCGAACGCTTTACCCTATAAACTTAACTCTTTCCCCATGGATGCTAGAAACATCATTATCATCAGCAGCATATAGTTTATTCAGTGTCAACAGCATCACCGTAGCACACTTTCCTATAAGAGCAGCGTCATTGCTTCTTATGTTGAATTCCCATCCACAGATAAAGATGTCATGGTCAAAGCAAGTGGTGCCACCACACCTCACAAATACTTTCTACCATTTTATAGTTCCCACAGGTGCTGCAAAGTCGACATAACCTCCCAATATCTGTCATCACAGTATTCTCAGTATCTTACCATCTGTTTTTAGTTGTTCTCCTTGGTCGCCTTCTTTTAGTCCTGTGGTGGCTGTTCCCTATAGCAGGTAGCTTTGTTGACCTTGTGCAAATCCTCCAACACGCTTTTGCCTCCTTTCAGCATTTCAGTAGAAATTCCTCGTTACCATTGACTATAACCATCAACAACACTGACAAGCTGGCAGTCATTTTCATCAGCACACCTCACCTCCATCTCCAACAACATGACAACCACAATTCCAAAGAACACAGGATGAGATGTTACTATCCTTTGTGCAAGCACTTCCAAGAGTTCATGAACAGTGAGCCTGGTGAAATTTGGGGAGCGCATCGTCAGTAGTGACCCTTTGGTTCCTAGGGTGTTTCGGCCTTTCATACTATACACCCTCCCCAAAGGCGGCCAGCGACAGGGTGATCAATCCTACGCTTGCGTCCCATTCCCAATTAGTCATAGGAGTTGCCTTGTTGTTGATAGCCAACATCCCATGGGACTATGCATGGCAGGGGCGTCCTCCTCCCTGAGTCAAGCATTGTTGACTGCATACCTCCTGGCCCTCTCACTTTGGGGCCCAGCTGGGGTCTTTCCTCTTCATCCAGAGCCACTGACTGCTGCCTTCTGCCGCCTCCGATACAGCTCTGATTGCCGAACGCTGGCTCTGGCCCTTAATTCCCAGGTCTCTAAGCAGTCTGGTTGTAGATGTTGCCACAAAACCTCTGCAGCCCACCTCCACTGGTCAATCAATAGAATCCTATTTATCGTAACCTACCCTTCTCTCCATCAACATCACCATCAGTGTCGTCATAATTATTCTGCATGTGATCAGTGTGGAGTGCATGTTCTTTGGATTTACGGTGTGCGAATCTGTGTGTGTGTACCATGCTGCAGGAGGTGGCCAATGTACCCAGCAGTGACCAAGAGACTGGGTTCAGCATTGAAAAGGTCTGATGTCACTCACTCTAACCTTACACGACTGTGAAGCTGTTGTTGTAAGAAAGTTTCCGTTGCTGGCGTTAACCAAAAACATGTTTGTTTAGTCACATATCCAAGGCAGGTACCAGTAATATGGGAATCCAGTTTGTTTCTCTTGGAAAGCACATAACTGCTTCGTAACATCTACATGTGCCAATGTGTTTTTTGAGTTGCTCATTGAGACCCGTTTCATGCATTAAGCAGCGTATAGATGATGATAGTCAACAAAACTAAATTTTCACGTGTAATCAGATTATCACTATTTCGCATATACTGGTTGCTTATAAATGAGACAATGATGGTGCTGCAAAGACCACAGTTATCGTTATCACATTACAATGTGCAATTATCGTTATCACATTACAATGTGCAATTATTGTTATCACATCACAATGTGCAATTATCGTTATCACATCACAATGTGCAATTATCGTTATCACATCACAATGTGCAGTTATCGTTATCACATTGTAATGTGCAATGGGTCTCCATGTACAAGTTGTATAGTGCTGTTATCGTAGTGACTCTTTTGTAAATGAGATTCAAATCGCATCATTATTGTGAGCCCTGGTCTATACAAGTGCCACTTTGTTCTGTTATTTTAAATGTTGAATACATTTTTTCAAATTATATATTAGTCCAGTAATCAGTTTATATCACTTCCGAAATACCTAATGTGGACCTGTTTCATTAAAACTTAGCAATCCAAAGTAAGCTGTGAACACATTTGTCAGGTGGATATGCTGTGGTTAGATTGCTCACCTCGCAATGTGAGTTTAAATCCTCATGCCTGGTTGACTTGACCCATCATTCCTGCAAAATGAATAATACTGATTATCACTTTGTGACAAATGCTACCAGTAGTTATCCAAAGGATGAACTTTCCCCTTTCATCATCTCAGGGCCACCAATGCAGACGAGCACACTCCCATTTTTCTTTTGGACAATGTTAATAAAAATAATCAGATTGCCCTGATATAGTGATTAGCACAATGTGCTACGAGCCCGGTTTATTTGCGTTCAGTTCCCGGCTACAGCTGTCAGTGGTGAGTGATAACTGAACTGGTCCCTTCACCAAACCGATTGGCACGGTTGGCTACGTACGTTGCGAAAGAAGTTCAACATGCACACATGGTGTAGAATAGACAAACAACCGCAATGCCCACTGCATGTGGGGGGACCCTCCCAAATGATCGGGTTATGCAACTTAAAACATACCAAATGCAGGATTATGTTACGGGATTACATTACTTTTAAAATATCAAGTATCTGAAAGACCTCCCCCTAATGCTGGCTGTGGTCCCTGCGTGTGTTCAGGCCAGGCTGGAGGTGCACAAGTTTGGGCTCACGGGCTACAGTCGCGAGCGGCAGCGCGAGTGTGAGCGCGCGCGCGCCATTCGCCTGGGCGCAAAGGTAGGGCTACAAGCTCGTGCAGAGACACAACGACACAAACCCCCCATTCAGTCTTGATGAACTTTCGGGGGCAAGTGCTGTTAGCACCTAAGAAGGGCTGGCACAGGACAAGAGGGGTTTGTGCGACCGGTATTATACCCAGCCGCCTCTGTCTCCCCATTGCTGATGTTTACGCACCGCATCAGGTACTCATTTAAGACCAAGTCGACTTCGGTGAAGCCCTGAACCGTTTCAGATATTCCTCTCTCACACGCGCACACACAGTTGTTCCAAATTTCTGGCTAGCTTCATTACCTTCCTCCATTGGTTGCATTTGCCTCTCCCTTGCATCAATGCTCTGCACCCTGCACTTTGGCACATACATCACTTGCCACCGATGTGAACTGTTACCAGTAATCGAGCTCAGGTCACCAGGCTTGTAACGCAGTGCGCCAACCACCCGTGCCGCCATTCCCCACCTACAAAAGCGCACACAACGCTCCTGTATAAATTAGCATACAATCGCAATTCACCACTAAGTGGTGGTGATATGACAATGCCGCTTGTGCACTTTGAGGCCACGTGAAGTGTTGAAGGGCCACTGGCAGCAGGCTATGGAACAAGGAGAATTGTCCGCCCCTCATGGTGACTGAAACCAGAACCAGCCCACCAGACCACCTGTATACCACAGAGGTCCAAGTGATATCGGTACAACCCCTGAGAAATGAAAGCCTCTGTTCTACAGTGACTGTTCGAACATGCCACGTGGCCAACCTCAGTGTTTTCCTGCTGTTTATTGAAAACCCCCATGTACCATGAACACTTGGATATTGCCCTTCAGGATGCAGAAACTTTCAAACACAAAGCATCAGGTTACTAGATCTAAACTCCTGTGCGGAGCACCAGGCATCCGAAGCAAGCACGTGTTCATGTGTATCTGGACTTGGCAGGTCCACGAGCGAGCTTTGTTTTTTTTACCTAAAATAAATTACGAGGTAAGCGAGTGCCCATAGAGCATCCAGGCCTCAATATACGCTGCCTTCCATTATTGTGATGGACAGTGCCCTGCAGGGCAGTGTGGACAATGAGTGATGTGAAATAAGATCCTGTCTGAATGGAGTTCATACGTACTCAGCATATATACACACACAAAAATACAGAATCGAATAAAATGTTGCCATTTGTGCTAGCATTAAATGTGTGATAATTATAATTCAGTCCTTTGTCAGTTCACTGCTGAACGAATGCTTCCCAATGCCATGTTGGTCGTGGAGGTGTTTCTTCTACTAAACGTCACCATGCTCTTTGGTTCTTTCGGTAAAGTCACGTGGGTAAAACATTTTTTTTATAGATCATGACGTTTCGATAGCCACACAACCGTCTTCAGGTGGGAGTGAGAAACAGGCTGCTGAAGCAAATCTTTATATATAGAGCCAGGAGGGGGAGAGGGGGGGTTGCCGCTTCGGGCAAGAGGGTGGGGGCTGGAGCTTGTGCTGAGGAGGTGGCCATTGTGAGAGATTAGCATGTCAATGTGTATTGACGGTATATCAGCCACTAAGGGGATAGAGTGCGCAGCAGGAGACACAGACAGACAGAGAGAGACACAGAGAGAGAGAGACACACACATAGAGAGACACACACATAGAGAGACACACCTAGAGAGACACACCTAGAGAGACACACAGAGAGAGACCCACGCAGAGACACACAGAGGGAGAGACACAGAAAAACACACCCACACACAGAGAGAGACACACACAAACCGAGGGAAACAACAACAACAACTACTGACATTTGCCACTAAGTGGCGGTGATGTCACCACGATGCTTGTGCCAGGTCATGTGCACCTTGAGGCCACGTGAAGTGTTGAACGTCCGCTGGCAGGAGGTCACGGGGCAGACCCAGGTGCCACGGGTCGACTGACTGAGATGACCGAGATGACTGGCTGATGCACCATCTGTGCCCTCTATTGTGCCAACTTGCTGTGCTTTAGCCACCCGGCGCTCCGCTCGTTGTTGTGAGCATCGCTCCTCCGCCCTCTGTTGTTGGAGGGCGACTGCCTCTAACTGCCCAGTAGCGTCCTTCACGAGCCTCCTCCACAGAGGCCGATCTTGACACCGCTGGTACCAGTCATCGGCAAGTCCACTCAGCTCCACATCCTCCTGTACCACATCACTCCATCTCTTCTCTAGCCCGTGCCGTGCCCGTTTAGCCCCCTTGATCTGGCCGAACAAAAGCTGTTTAGGCATGCGGTGATTGGGCATGCGGGCTCCATGGCCCAGCCACCGCAACCTTGCCTGCCGGAGGTGCTCACCGATGGGACTTTGTCCAGATTTTTCGAGGATTTGTGAGCTCCTCACACAATCCAGCCTGGTTAAATCCGGGATTGATCATAGGCAGGCCAGCCTAAATGTTTCTAACCGGCGAAGATGTTCCATTAGGGGGCTCCACGCTTCGCAAGCGTAGAAAAGGGAGGGAATGACTAGCTTTACTACCCGGCTTCGTCCGGGACTTGGATTCACCACGGCCAGCCGCCTTTGTCTCCCCAGTGGCGATGTTGACATACCACACCACTTACTCGTTTGAGGCTGAGTTGACCTAGGGGAGGCCCAGGACCGGTTCAAATAATCGTCACCGGCCGTGAGCGGGAATCGAACTCGGGCCGCCGAGTTCGTGGCGCAGCGCGCGAATCGCTACGCAGTCGCTGCCCCCCCCCACCCCCCAGATGCCTTACGTCATTTATTGACGGCCCCAGACGATGGTTGCGGCTGTAACCTCGCTCGCGAGCTACTGCTGCTGCTGACGTGTGTGTGTATGCAGCCTATCGCATAGGATTGCCTAGCGCCGACTGACCGGCTGATAGACTTAGCACTAGCGTTATATTATAAAAATAGATCTTCAGTTGACGTCCGAAACCGAAACCAGACCGAAAGTAAAAAATTGACTTTTGGCCGAAACCGAAAGTATGCCGAAAGTGACCATTTACCAACTTTCGGCGCCGAAACCGAAACCGAATTTCGGTCGGCCTCTAATAACATCCTTCAAATTATTGCTCAATTTGTACCCATCTTCTCGGTTGAAGTTATGTCTGTGTTTATATATCTGGATGGCTTCATGAACAAAGCTTGAATGGTAGCCCGAAGGTTTGCAGCGTAGCTTGGTCTCAGAAAAAACAATGTCGTGTGAGCACACCGCGTTCAAGCAGTGATCAGCCACGGCAGAGGTATTGGTTCTGCCGTGTTTCAAATCTGCCTTGTTTTCGCGAACACGGTCCGAGACATGTCGTTTAGTTTCCCCAGTGTAACTGCTACCGCAGACACAACTTAGTTTGTAGACACCAGGGTATCATAATACAATGGCCACCTCCTCAGCACAAGTTCCAGCCCCCACCCTCTTGCCCAATGCGGCAACCCCCCTCCCCCCTCCTGGTTCTATATATAAGGACTTGTTTCAGCAGCCTGTTTCTCACTCCCACCTGAAGACGATTGCTTGTGTGGCGATCGAAATGTTGTGATCTATTATTATTTTTTCTTTCTACCTACGTGACTTTACTGAAAGAACCAATGAGTATGGATTCCTGCAGTCGCGAAAGCTTCAAATCAAGATCGTTACCATGCTGGCTAGTGCAGGTTGGTGAAGGGGGGCCAAAGACCAGTTCAGCTATTAATCGCCACTGATGTTAGTCATGGCCAGGAGTCAAACTCTGTTTGCCCACCATAGCGCAGTGTATTAACCACTGCACAACCGCTCCACCCCAAGTGTGTGCCGTTTCGCATGTAGGCAGGTGTCTGTCGGTGACTGCACGCGCATCTCCATGTTTCATATTTGCTTGAACACTTTCATTCATTAAGATTTTCCGCACTTGTGCATGTGCAGCCACCCAAGCCTGAGTATATCAACTACAAGGAGCTCCTGAACCGGAAGCGACAGCAGAAGGAGGAGGCGGAGAAAAGGCACAGAGAAGTATGATGACAGATGTACCCAACAAATATATTGATACAAAATTCCAGTGCCCTACTTTAGCCTTCGAGGCCACAGCCAGCCCAGCAAACGAGAGGATAATGTACCCACCACCATATCTAGTCATTCGTATTTTACCAGTGCTGATTTTTAAACACTGTACCCGTTAGTAAAGGTTGAATCAACCTAAAAGAAGCCCAGTAAATATTTGTATACTGTTTGCTGATGTCCATGGCCAGGAATTGAGTCAAGTGACTGTCAGCCTAGTGTCGTGTGAAAGTTGCATTCACTGCTCCCCACACAAATAATAAGACGCAAACACACTGCATCAAGCATAATGCAATGTTTATATTGTGCCGAACAATCCAACATCCAGACATTGCTCTTGTTCCCTGACTGCGTGTAGGAGGCGGAGAGTGGGGTATTCAATAAGAAGAAGAAAGGGAGAAGACATGTGGAGAGGTGAAGACCCAACATGCATGACTGCCCTGCCACAGTACACCCCAAACCAAGTAAAAACACAGTCTCATTGGACTAGAGCTCTCCAAACTACACTCGGCATGCCCCAATGTGTTTGTTTTTGGATGCCCACCATCTGAATAAATGTGTAGTATGGTCAAAGGTGAGACAGGAGTTTGGAAAGTCCTAGGATAGGGCTTTGGGAGATTTGGCTACAAGTTGATTGTCTGGTATTGGTCACTCATACATGTTGGTGTCAAAGTGCAATTGTTTGTTCTGAGACAGTGGTGGTATTGAACAGGACAGTGGTAGGAGCAAGTCTTTTCCTCTGTTCGTGGTCATTTGATCGACTGTGGAAGAATGATGAGCAATGATGAGTTGAGAGCCTGATTGGGATGAAATTTGGTCTTGCAACCTATTGATTGCTAGTAGAGTGATGTAACCATTGGACGACCACAAGCCCTAACTTACCATGACATGGTACTTTGATCGACCCGGAAATAATGTAGGGTGAGTTTAACAGGATTTTAACTTATGACCTTCAATTTACGAGTTGAGCACAACACACCAATCTAAAGCAGCTTCTGCGCCACAACTACATTTACTCTGGTAAATGTAGTTTTGGGGCGATAACTAGGTAGTAAATTTCACGAAAGCTCCAAAATTAAGCTCCAAAATTAAGATTGAGTAAATTTCGATTTAAAGCTTTCGTGACTACAGGGATTCATCTTCTTGGTTCTTTCAGTAAAGTCACGTAGAAGGGAAATAATAATATAATAAAAATAAAACATAATGAAATAAAATTCTCACGACGTTTTGGCCACAACGCAAGCAGCCGTCAGGTGAAGAACAGGGCTGTCGGAAAGACAGCGTCCGAATGAACACCACCAAGCTTGGCAGCGTATATTTACGCTTGGTTAGAGGAGGAGAGCGCCTTGACAAAGAAATTTACATATCAGAGGAATTTTGCATATTCATGGCAAATGCAGATATGGGATTAGTCACTACTTGTGGAATGTGTAGGTGGTGGGGGGGGTCTCAAAGTCATATTATGCTCGTGTATTATGTAGGATTAGCAGTAATAAAGGGAGGAAGTAAGATTAGCAGTAATAGAAAGGAGCTGCAGCACCCAGACCACCACGTAAAAAACTGAAATATACACTACGTAAATATCAATATACTCAATATACTCTCCAATAAGATGAGCTACTAACAGTAAGTCATACATTACACTTCTATGTCGCAAAAAATATAATATGCCTCCAGCTAAACTTTTTCCTACATCACACGGATATACCCCGTACTATACACTGCCATAGACAAACCCAACATTAAATTATACACTGCGTTACTATACACCACCTTAGACTATACATTGTAATATTACACTATGTATTATTCTACACACCCTACTGTATACCACACTGCTGTATATTCACTATACAATTACGATGCTAGATATTACCTTATACATTGTATTAAACATTACACTTTTATACTATTTATTATTATACAATCTGCTATACACGATACCATTGACCGTCGCGTGAAAGGTACTAAGAGGAAGCAACTAAATATGTCAATGGGAGAGTGGTGGCAGGAGACTTGCAGAGCGGAGCAAAGACTACATTCCCTGAGGAGAATACAAAAAAGTCAATGCCAGCGAGTGCACTGCGGTCTGAAAGTCACCGTAAACGTGAACACAATCAGTTAAGATCCGAAATGGTTTTTCACATCCTTCCAATGATTGCTGAGCCAGAATCCATCTTCTCAGTTGAAATTGTCTCTGTGTTTGTATGTGTGGATCGCCTCATGAACGAATCTCTCATGGGAGCCGGATGGCTTGCAGAGAACCTCTGTCTTGGAGAAGTCGATGTCATGTGAGCCCACTGAATTATAACAGTGATCTGCCACGGCTGAGGTGTTCGTCCTACCGTGTTTCAGGTCTGCTTTATGTTCACGGATGCGGTCCGAGACATGTCGTTTGGTTTCTCCAATGTAACTGCTACCACAGAGGAAACTTAGTTTGTAGAGGTACGTGGATGACACTTTGGTCATCTGGCCACATGGCCGGCCTGCTCTAGACCAATTCCTCGACCACATCAATTCCATACACCCAGCCATCAGATTCACCATGGAAGTCGAAAAAGATGGCAAGCTACCCTTTCTGGATGTCCTGATGGTTAAATGAGCCACTGTCTACAGGAAAGCTACCCATGCGGATGCTTACCTGAAACCGGATTGCCACCACCATCCATCCCAGAAGAATTCCCTCATCAAGACTCTACACCATAGAGCCCAATGCATCTCCGACCAGGAACACATTGCCAGTGAACTCAAGCACGTACACCAAGCTCTCAAGGCTAATGGTTACTCCGACTACACATTCCGCAAAGCCATCACTCCAACCATCAAGAACGATCCTCTTGAGGAGCCATTCAAAACCATCACCTTAGCCTACATTGCGGGGGTCACAAAAAAGATCTCCGAAATCCTGAATAAACACAAGATCCAGGTCCGATTCAACACAGTACATAAAATCCGTGATCTGGTCCTGTCTGTAAAAGATGTGGTTCCAGCCATACAGTACCCTGGCGTCTACAAACTAAGTTGCCTCTGTGGTAGCAGTTACATTGGAGAAACCAAATGACATGTCTCGGACCGCATCCGTGAACATAAAGCAGACCTGAAACGGTAGGACGAACACCTCAGCCGTGACATATCACTGTTATAATTCAGTGGGCTCACATGACATTGACTTATCCAAGACAGAGGTTCTCTTCAAGCCATCTGGCCTACAATGTAATGTTTAATATAATGTATAAGGTAATATCTAGTATCGTAATTGTATAGTGAATATACAGCAGTGTGGTATACAGTAAGGTGTGTAGAATAATACATAGTGTAATATTGCAATGTATAGTCTAAGGTATAGGGTGGTGTATAGTAACGCAGTGTATAATTTAATGTTGGGTTTGTCTATGGCAGTGTATAGTACGGGGTATATCCGTGTGATGTAAGAAAAAGTTTAGCTGGAAGAATATCATATTTTTTGCGACATAGAAGTGTAATGTATGACTTACTGTTAGTAGCTCAGCTTATTGGAGAGTATATGGATATTGATGTAGTTTATATTTTAGTTTTTTACGTGGTGGTTTGCCTGCTGCAGCTCCTTACTATAAAAATGTCCCTCCCTTTATTACTGCTAATCTTACTTCCTCCCTTTATTACTGCTAATTCCTACATAATACACAAACATAATATGACTTTGAGACCCCCCCCCCGCTACCTACACATTCCACAAGTAGTGACTAATCCCATATCTGCATTTTCCATAAATATGCTATATACCTCTGATTTGTAAATTCCTTTGTCAAGGCGCTCTCCTCTAACCAAGCTTAAATATGCACTGCCAAGCTTGGTGGTGTTCATTCGGACTCTGTCTTTCCGACAGCCCTGTTCTTCATCTGAGGACAGCTGCTTCCGTTGTGGCCGAAACGTCGCTGAGAATTTTATTTTATTATGTTTAATATTTATTATTTTATTATTTCCCTTGTACGTGACTTTACCGAAAGAACCAAGAAGATGAACTAGGTAGTACCAGCAGGGAGATGACCCTGGTATGTTTGGTGTGTGCACAGCAAGCGGGGGTGGCACGACGACCTCGGGGTGGAGGGCATGCCTGGCCGCTTCCGTGGAGGTGCGCTGCTGCTGAGCAAGGAGGACATCCGTCGCATCCAGACTGGCCGCTCTTAGCACAGCCATCGCTTTCCTCTGCACCCCAGGACCACCTGAGTCTCTAGCTCTGAACTCTAAAGCTATGCAGGGTGGAGTGTGGCTAATGCCTATGTAATAAAGGTCGTTGAGGCGACTTCTGGAATCCGTCTTTTATTCAACTTGTATTACAGCTTTCCTTCACGCTGCTGATAGGCAGCGTGAGAGAGATACATAGAGAGAGATCCACCGCCACGTGGCAACCCGGAGCCCCGCTCCCGCGTGGCCCCCTTCCTCTGTTCGTTTCCGTTCTGACCCCGTGTCGTTCGTCTCCACCCCTATTTAATACCCGGGTCACGTGATACGTTTCCACCAATCCTGGTTAGCCTCCATGGAATATTCCAGGCTCCCTTGTAAGCTCCCGGGACCACGCCCCTGACTCATCTCCAAAGCCAGCAGAACCAATCCTTACAGCTATCACCTTGCCATTACGTCTGTGCCATGCCCCTAGGCTTCCCCCCCATTGGCTGTAAACCAGGACCAGCAGAGCCAATCATCATGACGAGTTGTGATACATCAGTGAGCCGGATATATCCTCACATTACACCTAGATGGAAGTGGTGCTCAATTTATGAACCCCGGATGGAAGATGCGTCAAATTGACCTCTCACCAGGATTGTGTGATGCAGTTGCCGCATGGATGACGCGATAAGAAAACTAAATATTACTACATTCGCAACTTTCTCAATACGAAGCAGGTGCTCTGCCGCAGCACTGCCTGGCCGAAATACACTGGCAAACAGAATGGTGCCTGTTCTCCGGACTTGACAAAACCCACCGTTTTTTATTAACTCAATTTCACTGAGCTGTACTGATTACTATTTGTTCTACAACAGCAGCCAGTTGGCATTAGTATGTAGACATTTGAGAAATTGCTTTAAATGCTTTTTGGTATTTAAATTGTCAACAGGGTTTATTTGTTTAACGTGGGTTTATCGAACTGCTACAAAATGGCAGTGACAATATTAGCATGACATGTGCTTGTGTGTAATTTCCATAAAAATGCAGCTTGTGAAGTTTTCACTTCACCAAGTAATTTCCTCACAAACATAAACTCCAGTCAATTCATTTTTAATAGTTACACTTAGCCTGGAAAAATACAGCAGCATACAACATTCAATGTGCAACAAAATAATTTGTATCAAAGTACTCATTGCATTTAAAAAAGCAAGCAATGATGAAAATTTACTTTCATTGCAGCAGAATATACTTTTTTTCACAATTAGTTTTTATATTAATATTTTATGATAACGCACCACTAACACGTTCATCATGACACTATAACGTGGTCAAACTAGCTGAGAATGTGCCATACATAATTTCACATTTACCGTGCTGAGAAAAAAATGTCAGACATGTCGAGTGCAGAAGTTTTCTTTTAACGGATGTGTAAGTTGATTTTCTCGGGTCTGTTGAACAATGACTGCATGAAACAAAATATACAGTCGACTCGATTATCCATGCTAATGTAATGCGAGCAAGGATTGGGGGGGGCGGAGTCTGGGTCACGTGAGGAGAGGGAGGAGTTAGGATCACGTGGGGGAGAGGATTTAGGGAGAGAACCGGAAGGGGTTTGGGGAGTTGAGACGGAGTGAAACAGGAGGAGGCCACGCTGGGCAGTACGGGGAGAGTGGCGCGGTCGCCACGCGGTGGGAGACGTCGGCACCATCAGCCATTGGTGTCAGGACGCAGAGGGCTAGCGGGCGGTGGGAGGCTAGCTGCAGAGCGGAGCAGCAGCAGTGAAGCTGTAGAGCGGAGCAGCGGTATGGCTGCAGGGCGGAGCAGCAGTGAGGCTGCAGAACGAGCAGCAGAGTGGCTGTGGAGTGATCGTCGGGAGAGACGCGGGCCTGAGCGAGGACGCCGTGTTTTGGAGATTCTACGAACCCAAATAAAGGACAACGGAGATCGACATTGAGAAAGAGTCCTTTATTACACTAATGACAGGCAGGATGGCCGCAGATAATTCAAAATTGTGGATAATCAAAAAATATGAATTTCCCGCGGATCTCTATGCCAAAAACCACATCGATATAAATAATGTTTAAGTTAAAATTGAGAACGAATACTGATGATCGGTGGATCTGCACGTGCTCGGTGATGACACTTTCCTGCTCCCGCGCAGAAGACTCGGCCCACTAAGTGAATGGCAGAGCCACGCCAATCAATGTCAATCAAACTCCGCCCACTGTTGTAAAGCTATGCAACTACTGTACTGTAGAGGCGGGCACATTGATTTCTGATTCACTGGGGTACATGTTTGTTTGGTTTAAGCACGTGACTTGTAATAAACATTTCCAAGAATGACTTTAACTTGTTATTATTCATTTGGGCTTAAGGGACAATTCATGAGTTATTATTTTTTGTTAAAATCTCATGTGCGTGGTTAATTTGCAAATGGGATAAACCGCACATGGATAATCAATACTGTCTATAAAAAAAACCTCACCAGCTTCATAACAACCTCGTAAGTTGGGTAACATTTCAGTATTTGGCTTTTCTATACGGTTTCTGTAATCGGTGATAATTGTGAATATTTTTGTGATACAGCAATCCCTCGCCAACTGTGGAGGTTAGATTCCTGAAACCCCCTGTGGTTAAAACCGTAGTTGGCAAGACTAAAGGCTTATGAAAAATAGGGGGTGAGGTTCCGGGGTCGCGGTTAACACTAATAGAAGCCTAACTACGCATCTTACGCATTCAGTAAACATGAGAAATATATACAGTACTCTATAACATGAACAAAAATTACTTAAATATTAATAGTGAACAAAAATACTTGGAATTGCCGTTAATATTGATACCTCCTTTGGAAATATAGCTGCCAATGGGGTCCAGCTCCTGCTGCGTTCCGGGTCTTGAGGACCCGGGGTGCTTCGGACCGACGTTTCTTCCTCCAAGGGAGCTCCTCTGGGGGTCTTCTTTCCGGATACCTTAGAGCGTAGACTGTATCCCACCACTGCCACCAGTGTAAAGAAACTCCTTTGAGACATCCATTTTCGTAGATGTAGCGCTTTATTTCCCTTAATGTATTTACAGTTCTGAGTGTAACAACTGCCACATTCGTAATTGCTATGGTTATCTTCAGTCCCCATGGTTTCCACTAAGTTGGTTCGCAAACAATCAGCCCCAAAGTCCACCTTGTTCATCGATTCGTCCCCAAGCAAACGCCCCGATCCCGGGCCTTGCTCCCCCCTATATCCTCTCTCGGCCCCACCCCTATCAGACG